ACCAATAGCGTGAGAGCTGATCAACCAGCTGAGATGAGCTGGCGCTTGCCACCTGCTGTAGGTCAGACACTCACTTACTCTTATGTTCTGAAGTGTAAACCTGGTTTATGAGTGGTTCTTTGCTCTCTGGTTTATTGCTGTTATACCGCTGATTTAACTCTATAAATATTATACATATCTTGATGAAATAACATGCCAGTGAAGAAAAAAACTAAATTTCTGTGTTTGTCTCGCCTTGATTGCCAAGGTGCTCTTAGTTACGACCAGGTACGACAGGCCAGGTACGACAGGCCAGGTACGACAGGCCTTAAATTTGCTGCCTGCCTTCGTAACAGTAACATCTTAGTGTCGTTCCTCTTATCCACTTCCAGCCAAATTATTGACCACCTGGTTCGTCCTAATGGAGACTAGACTACAGGTGATTTTTTTTCCAATGCACCAGCCGTCTCCCACCGAGGCAGGGTGACGTAAAAAGAAAAACGAAAGTTTTTTTCTTTTTACAGGTAGTAATTTATACAGGAGAAGGTTCTACTATCCTCTTGCTCTCGGTATTTTAGTGGCCTCTTACAACACACATGATTTATAGAAGAATTCTTCTCAAACCATACCACGGGCGGGGTTAGAACCCGCGAGCAGAAAGTCAGAAACTCCAGACCGACGCGTTAGCCACTGGGCCAGCTAGCCACAATAAGATTACATCTAATATTATTGGCTAGCTGGCCCAGTGGCTAAAGCGTCGGTCTGGAGTTTCTGACTCTCTGACCGCTGGGTTCTAACCCCGCCCGTGGTATGGTTTGTTTTCAATCGTGTCATTACGATTTCGTGAGTCAAGAATTCTTCACTACAAAATGAAAAACAGGTGAAAATGCACACATTAATTTTCTTCCATTCACCTTTATTACTACGAGTTGTGGGTCTTGACTCAGGGCGGGATCGTCAGTTTTGTCTTTCTTGACTTTACGTTTATTGTGGTGGACGATGACACGTGGGACAGCTAGTTTTAATGTCCCTAGATAACACACACACTGCCAGGAGCTGTGATTCTACCCCTGAAACCACAAATAGGCGAGTACAGCATCTCCGGGTTGTGTCAAATGGAGTGTGCCATGCGCCAGCCGTGACACTCCATTCATTGCTGAGTTGAACATACAGAGTCAGAGTGAACGACACCTGACCTCGGAATGACACCTGACACCGGAACTCGCATTATGTCAATCTTTTTTGGTTTAAATCCTTAGTTTCTTCATTTGCATATTCCTTTAGTTCAATATAGTCACGGATTCATGGGAAGATGATCATGCTTATGACAAGATTAACTAATCTGGAAGACAAACGTAACTGGTTAAGTGCAAATCAAGATGACATTTTTAATTGTATGTTGATTAATAAAACTCAACACTACTAGCGAGGAAGAAAGTCTACACCTGCGACCAGTTTTCGACAAGCTGAGACAGGATGAAAGAATCAAACCACCGAAGACGTTCAGAAGTAAATACTACTCAAGTAACAGTATTGATTTACATCCGTAGTGCAGCTTGATATCCTCACCACGACTGGTGACAGTCAACTGTATGATTGTGTCCAGGAAAAACATTTAATCTCATCCAGTACTACCGTGGCAATGCATGGCCACGTCTTGGGGCATCAAGGTGCACATGCGCTTAGCAGGTTGATGAAGATCGCAGCTTCCGTTGGATGGTGAGGAAGGATGATCTTGTTCTTCACGGGAACATTTATTGGATGTGAGTTACATACCTGTTCCTAGGGAAGCTGCAGCCCTCCCTAGGGCGAGAGGAGCAAACTGTACACACGTCTCATCAGAGAGAGAGAGGCGCTTCACAGCTGCCTTTCATCTCATCACTCTCAATGGATTCATTTGAGTGTTGAAGGACAGAGAGGATGTTCTGTGTATGTGTGTGTGTGTGTGTGTGTGTGTGTGTGTGTGTGTGTGTGTGTGTGTGTGTGTGTGTGTGTGTGTGTGTGTGTGTGTGTGCGTGTGTGCGTGTGTGTGTGTATGTGTGTATGTGTGTATGTGTGTGTGTGTGTGTGTGTGTGTGTGTGTGTGTGTGTGTGTGTGTGTGTGTGTGTGTGTGTGTGTGTGTGTGTGTGTGTGTGTGTATTCGCCTAGTTGTGGTTGCAGGGGTCGATTCATAGCTCCTGGACCCGCTTCTTCACTGGTCGCTACTAGGTCCACTCCCTTCTCCATGAACTTTATCGAACCTCTTCTTAAAGCTATGTATGGAACCTGCCTCCACTACATCACACTCCAGATTCTTCCACTTCCTGACAACTCTCCAACTTATCATCACCTTATCTCCACCAAGTCCTTCCACTTTACAAAAAGCCAGGACTATGAGAGCTCTGTCTCATGTCCACTTCTTCGTGTCTCATCAAGGTTCACTTCTCCACGTTCATTTCCTCATGCTTATTTCTCATTTATATTTTCTTATACGTAAAATGGTAAACATGTGTTGGTTGTCCAAATCATTTACTTCATCAA